GCGTGTATTGAAACATTCATACGTTTTATCAGCCTTAGTTTAGTGACCATGGTTATTTTAAATCTAAGAAACAATTTCAATTCGTCCCTAAATCTCCATAAATAATTGAATTTCCGCTCTGCCAACGTGTATTCGAATACTGTCTACTTGTCCTTCGTGTTTCAGGAAAATTAAGGTAGGTTCTGACTGAGATGCTCGTTCATTGACCTTTACTTAAATTTCTTAAAAAGGCTTAAATCGTACTGTGTATAATAATTATAATAAGTGTTATGTGGGTCACTATGAAAGCATTAGTATACGAGTGCGGTAATATTTTTGGTTTACACTCAGGACTTTGCACTAATTAGCTATCCCTCCACATGGCATTTATCAACCAGTTCTTTCAACTAAGCCTAAATAACTTGTACGCTTAACAAAATACGAAACAGTAATTCCCAGCATTTATAAAAAGGGAAATCAACATTATAGCAGGTTTTCAAATATCGTCCCAAATTACCGAGCCTTACGCGTTTAAATAGTTGGTAAGTAAACTGTTTTTACCGCCGTGGTAAATCGAGCTGGCACAACAGGTGTGAGTTACTCGCCTCTTAAAATATCACAGGTTAGCCTCATTGTCTGTAAGTACCTTATTTTCAAGTGAATTTCGAAGTTAGGAGTTAGCAATTTCTTCAATTCGTGAGGCATATATTTTGAAATAGAAACAATGAAATGTTAACTGATGAAGTCCGGTCTTATATTATATAAATAACAAAAACAACAATTTTTAGTGATATTATCTGAAAATCAAGGGTATACACTTCAACTCAAATCCAAGGAAAGTAAAAGGCAAGAAATGGAATATGTTGCTCACATAACATTACTTAGTAGCATTTCCAAGTACAGATGCTTCTTTTCGTCACTCATTGTTAAGCGAAAGCCAGACTTTTTTAATTTTTTTTTTTCTGGTCATTTAAGAAAAAGAAACAAGAATATATAAAAAAAAGTTTTAAACTCAGTTCACGACGTTCAAACCAGGGGTCATAGCAGCAAATAGCGGCTGGAAGTTCACTTATTTAAAGAAAGTGGACGCTAAAAATAAACCGTCCTATTGAGCGTCTCCTGTTCCTCTTGAAACTGCAGTGGCAAAGACGTAGACTGAAATGTCCAGATAACAACCATCATGTAGAAATGTTTACTGTGAGATTATTTGGCTGATTGGAAGCGACGTTGACCAATGCATTAAAAAATACATAAGATGTTAAAGATTACCTAGGAGAACTTTTGTTTCAGTAACAATGTCAGTCTTTACAGACCATACCATGTTTATTGTGCTGTATTTTTATACAGCACAGACGGCGTCTTACAAAACCTCGGAATAAAGTAGACATGTATACTTACTATCGAGTACAATTCAATTCAATTGGTACTTCAAAAGCAATTCCCATTTGAAACTATTGAGGTACTTCAAACAATTTTCAAATCATGCGTGATTGCCGATCACCCGAAATCAATATTTAAACTAGAAATATGTGTATCGCAGAACCTTGCAACGCCTGGGGGAGGAGAAGGCCGGTAAAATGTAAGGGATGGAAGGGCGGGTTTCAACACTGGCTCTTATATTATTTGGAAGGTGAGATTTACGTACTCAATCTCCTTTTGGTTGCAGTAAATTTGAACCCTTAGTGCCCTGGCTTGAAAAAGGATCTGGGATTCAGCTGTGTTTATGTATATAAGCACAATACATATTATATTTTACTTGGGATGGTTTTGGGGAAGTAAATTTAATGAAAACTGTAAACGAAAATTTTGTTAAGTAAGGACTTTGTCAGTACCAATGTAAGGCTTCCCCAGTACATGTCATACATTATCGATGTTCTAAACTGTTCATTGTAAACTAAAGCTTACTGTAAAACCCATTGTTGCTCATGGTATAAGGGCTTATCGGCTGTCCTCAGTCTGTTGGAAAGATCTTCCTCACCTTAATTTTACAGATCTTGTAAATCTTCTTGCTTCCTATCGTTGCATCAAAGAAGATAATTCAATTTGACTACAAGCTTCGAGCGTTGCCTCTCCTCATCTCTTTCGCTGCAAATTCTGTTGGCGGCATATTCTCGAAGCGTCTGCAGTCAGTGTTCCCTCTCTTTAAGATCTTTTCTTAATTGTTGAAAGGAGGCCAGTCAGCAAACGGTTTTCTGGTGAGGCAGCTTTCACCTTTCAACTCTTTATGAGAAATTGGGCTGTCTGTGTTCAACTTAATGAGAAAATGGGCCTTCTGTGTTCAACTCAATGAGAAACTGGGATGTCTGTGTTCAATCCTCAAAGAGGAGCGGGGATGTCTGTTTCAAACTTCAATGAGGAACTGTTATGTATAGCGTTCAACTCTCAATGAGAAACTGGGATATCTGTGTTCAGCCCTCAATGAAAAGCTGGGATGTCTGTGTTACCATTTATTAAACCTTTCAGATACTTTTGTTGCTGGTGATATTGACCTGTATAATGAAATGTTCCTCCGCGTCGCTCAAAAACCTCTTTGCTTAAGTTCGCAATGAGCAGGCGCAAGATGGGAGTAATATAACACCAAACTGAATTGACTGGGACTCTGCGACATGTATAACGTATTCTACAGACTACTATCAACGTCTTACTTTAGAAAGCTGGTTTACTAACTTAGAACAAACGCTACTGAATCGTAGCCAACAGTTACCAGAGCAGTACAAAAGACTAATTTACGAGATCAAGCAAAACTAACTACGAGAGAACGACCGGAGAACTGACAATTTGACTAACAATAGACGACTGTTTAACTGTGACAATAGACGGATCGAAACGCACCAATTACTGATTACGAGTCTTCATTGCCAATAACATCACGGCTTAACTGACAGACGACCAATAACATCGCGACGTAAATCACTTTGACTCTGAAGATGACTACCGCACAGGTTGTCGAAACGTCAGTCACTGTCAACAACAACAGTCCTATTCAGGACTACGTTCACCTGGACGATCAAACTCAACCTACTTTTGAAATGACTCCTGGGTTCAACCTTTCACAATATAACATTTGTTTAGTACAATTCTGATCGAAGAATTAAACATACGTTAAGTAACAACTGAAGGTATGAAGAAAAAAACCGTGATTTTAGTGGGTTTATAAAATGACAAACGTGTTAGGCGCTGATTGGCTTAAGTTTTTCTATAAATTATTACCTGTATGTTAGACTTTATGTGTGCCAACTAGTCTGAAAAAGTTTCAAAATAATTTTCAATTATTAATTTATGTAAAGAACCCTATTAGACAACTTGAATTCAATTATAAGGTGTTGGCTAATTTAGATATTGTTTTTATGTTGTTATCAGAGACAAATTGTGCATCTTTGCTGCATCTTTTCAGACAAGTAATTGATGTTCAATCACTGGCCAGGTTATAACTTTCTTTGTAGCAATAAACATTTTCAGGCAATCAATTTGAAAAATGATACTTTGCTTCCTTAGGGGGTGGTTAACACGTTTTTTTCAAAACTTCAGTTGTTAAGCTCCCAGTAAGACCACGTGTAATGAGGCGGGCCAAAATTGTAAAGGAACCAAGGACGTTTTCAGACAAAGATTGAAACGAATTCAATTCGCAGTGACGAAGTTTTAACTTGAGGTCGTCAAACATGCCTCAGTTTTTACAATTATTAAGTATTAAAAACAGTCAAATTTAATTTGTGCGATTTTGGCAGTTACAAATAAACGGTAACTGATCAATGTTACAACAACCAACAAAAAGGCGACTGTCGAACTGGATAAAATTGATAATCAAATTTTGAAGGTGTGGTGTAGGGCCAGAGCTATTCACTTTTATTTTACCTTTAAAACAAGCCACCCATTATCCAAAAACCAAGTACAGTACAACCACCAACCAAACAACCAAGTACAATTTTCCATGGTCTACACTCTGGTAGACCATAGAAATGACACTGCAAATTGTTCAAAACTTTGCAGTGAAACCACTCGCCTGCGGCTCGTGGTTCCACTTGAGTTTTGAACATTTTATCACGTCATTTATATGGTCTATAAGAGTGTAGACCATAGGAAATTGTGGTCAATTGTTAAAGAGAACTTTCTTATATTATTCATACCTTGTGGTAAATAAAAAAGCTCCGAACTTCTAGCGCCATAAGAATGCACCTGGCGTGTCACAACATGTTATATTTTTCAATTCTAAATTTACAATTTCCATAAGATAGGAAGTATCAGTATGCGAAAAGAAGACATTAGTGTCATCAGGAAATAATATCAGCTCTAAGACCTTTAACACATGTATATTACATTGATCATTAATATATACTAAGAATAACAGGGGACATAAGATAGAGCCCTGGGGACTCCGCAAGTAATATCCAATGATGAAGAAGTGTAACCATTTATATTGCACAATTTGTTTTCGATAAGAAAGATAACTTTTAAACCATTGTAAAGCAATACCACGTACTCCATAATGTTCTAAAATCGCAAAATTTCATGATTTACTGTATCAAAGGCCTTAGATAAGTCAAAGAATAGGCCTAAATATCAAGTGCATTTGAGATTTTGTCATACAATTGGATTAAAGCATGTGCAGTAGATTAATGTTTTCTGAATCCATACTGATTCCGGGAAAGAATGTCATAAGTATATCAGGTGCATGGTGGCCGCTTAAGAGAGGTAACAACAATACTAGAACTCTAGTCGAGTGTCTTTTGAAAAGCTTAATTTAGATTACAGCAGAACTCAGCATACTTTAAAGCAGAGTTTTAAGTTTGTATTTATTTTTTAATTAGAATTTAGGTATATGGGAACTTGTTTTTGTTGTAATTTTGGATAGAGGGCCACAAGTTTACTTATTCGTTGTTTTTATTTTGTTATTCAGTGCTACCACCTTTAAATCAAAGTTATTTTAATAAATTTGTTAAATGTGAAATAATCTTGAACTATTTGATTTCAGGATCAAAACCGCCTCACCTTTCCCAGATTGAAAGCTGTGTTATTTAACCACAATGACCGTAAGGGTTTACCTTTCTTTATGTTATAAGTATAATATAACCTTTTCTTACAATTACCCCCGACATAATACAGTACCTTAAATTGTTATTCTCAAGCCTCGTTCGTGCAGACGGACGTAAAATTGTTGGCCAACAACTCCCAAGATTGTTGGATGTTACATGTTGCGTCCGTTTGGACACCCTGTTGCATGTTGTTGCGCAAAGTTTGAAACCGGTCAATCTTGTGCAAACGGACGCAATAACTCCCAAGAAATGGTGCGTCCTTTTGCACGAGGCTTGAAGTTAAACCCTTGAATCCATTGTACAGGCACGGTAGAGTATCAATTATAACATAGCGCGCGTGTTCCCTATATAAGTCCTATTTTGAGCCGCTATGAACAAAATCTTTATTTACGCACCGTCATCTTTATTTACGCACGACGGTGCGTAAATAAAGATTTTTTTCAAGATGACGTGTTCAGCTGTGTTTTTCGTCTCTTTATTCTAAGTACCAAGTAACCAAAAATCGACGGCAACTATGAAAAACTTTCTAGGTTTTTTGAAACTGAGCTTCTGGCCACTCAAACCAACAGCAAAAGCGGTGAAGATGTTTCGCAAATAATAGAGCCTGAATCATTGAAAAGTCTGCCGTAAAGATTGACATTCAGCTCGAAAAAGACCAAAAATTGGTCAGTGTTGGGAAATGTCCAATTTGTCGCTATAAACAAGTTTTCTGGATTTCGCCGAGTAAAACATAAACATCTTTTTTTAGTCAGTGAATCCAAACTATTCCACGACTTCTTACGAACAAGTGAGTATTTTAACTTTAGGTCAGGACTTTTAAGACTCTTTTACCTTTGCTTCTGCTTAGTTTCCATTGATCTTTAACGAATAAATAAGCAAATTTTCTTTCTCAGTTTTACAGAAAGAATTTCCTGTCAAAGTCGACGATTGTGGCGTGTTTGTAACCAGCTAACAAAAGCGTTTGTTTTTCTGTGTTGCGCGCTACGAGAATTTTGCAGTTAATCAAAAAGCAAGCAATTTTGGCAGCTATGTTATAAATTTCTTTTAGCTGTGAGTATATCGAGTTATGGATGCACTTGAGAAGTTTGGAGAGCACTCAAGAAGCTAGAGTTGCTCTCGGCTGTGCCTCGAGCAACTCTTACGCATCTTTCGTGCTCTCCAAACTTCCCGCGTGCATCCATAATTCGATACACGCACACTCAGCATGAACAGATTCTTATATAATTTATTTGAATTTATGGATCTCGATTATATTTCACTGCAGGTGATTTCTTTTGTCGGCGCTGTTCTTTTAGTGGCATGCACAGTATCTATTTCTTCATTTGGCTCGGTAAAGGTATGTGTATTTTATGAACTAAAGTAATCATGTTTTTTCCAGCAAAGACGAAACAACCTTTCAAAAGCCACATTGTGTAGAGGACTTAAGTGATTAGTGCCTTCCTGTTTTAATATAAGAATTCCTTGTATTAGAGACTTTATTACAATTGCCTTATTTCAAACCGATGGGGGCTGGGTAAGTGTCCGTACATTAGAGGATAAACAACAGGAGACCTACAAAATCAAAAAGAGGAAACGGAGATTTACACAATCTTGTGCTATTTCAGTCTTTGTTTTTACCACATTTTGACGTCGTCTGTGATCTAGTATGAAGCTTTAGCAACGGCAACGGTGGCACGGCAACGAGAACGTCAAAACAGCTAGTAGTAGGTTTATATTAGTAGAACAACAACTTTGTTTTTACCACATTTTGACGTCATCTGCGATCTGATCTTTTTTGTGCATTTCTTTGTCGTCACTACACGACTGCGAAGCGAAAATGCCTTATTGCACGTTTTAAAGGACGTAAACAAGCGACGACGAATTTTTCTAAACTTGTAGTCCCCATTAAATCAACTCCTGGGATATTCCTTCATTTGACAGTTTCAGCGAACTGGAATAAGGCGGCAAAGGCGGAAAACACGCGAATTCACTTTAAAAGTGACGTTTTCGCTGCCACCAAGTCGTCAATACTAATGCACCCTATTTACTGAACAGACGCACGGCAACACGGAATCTATTTGCTAAATAGACCTCCTACTGATGTGTTCGGCAATTCATACCTCTCCTAGGACGTTTTCCCGTGGAGGGTCACATTTGTCAGAACTGACCGGCCAGACCATTCCCGTCTCAATGATAATTTACCTTTTAATCAAAACTCTCCAGCTAGATCAGCCTATTCCATTTTCAAACTGACTGGTCGGGCAATGGTGCGGCCGGCCAGTGTTGACAAATGGACAGCGCCCTTAGTAAATTTTCAAGTTTTTAAATAGCTGTACCCTGTTCAATATTGGCTTGATTAACACCAACCTGAGAATTTTTCTAGCCTCAAAGTGCTGAATATGTGGGTCTCGTTGTTGTTTAACCCATAATACATGCCATTGAATGCCCTCTGGGTACAGAAACAAATATGCCTAGGAGAATGTATTTAATAATACGTTATCCTTATTATTCATTCAAAATATTTCTCTGTTTCCGATTGATTCAAATCGCTGGCTAATTCTTCATATTTGCAAGCGTTGACAAAATTTGGGAGAAAGACGTTTGTGATATTCGATAAAATGCCTCAGAAAAAAGTGCAGGTTATCATCAAAAAAGGCTCGAAAACCGAAAAGCCGTGGAGACGACGTTGTCAACCGACTGCCTCAAAGATAGCAAAACCACAAAATGTGACTAAACGGATGATCAACAACTGCTACTTGCACAATATCTGCTTGAATAAACATCCCTTTGTAACCTTAATTTGTCGAAGAACAGGCAAATGAAGATTAAACTGTTCATCGATCGAGGTAAGCATGTTTTATTTTTAAGTATCTGTTATTTTAAATAAATAAAGAAACAATTATTGAATTGGGCTTTTGTGCCGACGTAGACCCTCCACGATCTGCGTAATATTCAGATCACATTCAGCCTCATTCAATAATTGCTAATTGTCAAAATGAGTTTTTATCCCTTCTCGTCTAGAATTTATTTTTTCGCACTGGAATAGTTAGTGTATGCTAATTTTATATTGTAAGAATTGTGAAGTACAATAGAAGAATAAAATACACCATGACTGAAGAACAAACAAACAGTGGCAAAGGCAGAAGGCAGGTAACTTGTCCTTTTTTTTTACAGGTGGAAAGGGTTTTAGATGATCACTCACTTATCCCTAAAAGGGAAGGTAAATGCAAGAATGCTGCCTTTAGTCTTGCTTTGAATTTTCTCTTTTCTCGTTAGATCGTCACTATCTTGGCATTGTGAATTCCACCATCATTATCATTATCAATAATGCCATGTCAGCATTATCATCACCCTTGTTCGTTGTTGTCCTAACTCATACTCGGCCTAAGTGAAAACGTTATCTACATGGTTCAATGTAACCGTTGTAATTTACAATATATAGCTGAAACTAAGCGACGTCTCAAGGACAAATTTAACGAACCCAGACGTGCAGTCGACAAAACTAACATTAAATCTAAACCCACTACTGTTTCTGAACACTTTCTCTCTCACTCTAACTATTCTCATATTGACATGCAGTTAATCCCACTAGAGAAAATTCATTCTTCACGTGACTCAGTTCTTAAGGCCAGGGAGTCGCATTTGATAGATAAGGCCTAAACCACCGTGACAAATTATTGTAATCCATATCCTTAGTATTTTTCCTCTCCAGTTTTTGTGTTGTACGTCATTTCCGCCTCTCCCTTTTAAACAATTTTTATTGCGACATTCTCCATCTGTATAATATTGTGATTCCTACATAAGTTCAGTAACATCTGTAAACCTGAAGAAGGCTGGTATGGCCAGCCGAAATATTGTTATAAAAAACAATACACGTTGTTATGAATCAGCTTTGCAGTAGTCTCTGGACTTAATTCTCGTTTTTGATATTTTTTATCCTATGTAATCACCATTATTACGGTCGTCATCATCATCATCATCATCATCATCATCACATTGTCGTCGTCCTCCAGCATAGCACAGTGCTGGAAACAATGAAAAAGAAATTATACCTAATTCATTTCCGGTTATTGTCCTCTTCTCAATTTTGTTATTTTTTCCTCGCGGTTTCCCTCCTTGTTACGTCTCTAATGCACTGTATTTATTCATGATATTTCAGTGCCAGTGGGTTTCGTGGAAATCGGCTGCTATCGTTTAAAAACAATAAAGAATAGAGAAGGTTTGGGGACTTATACATCTAAAGATATATCAATAGTGATGGAAAACTGCAATAAAAAAGCTGAGCAGAAAGGACACCATTTCTTTGGAATAAAGCGAAAAAAAGGCAACAATAAGTACATGTGCGTAACAGGGGAGATCAAGAACGCTAAAAGAGCGAAAAGATGCAACAAAAAAATTGGAGGAATATTTTCAGTCTTCATGTATTACAATAAAAAAACAGGTTTGTAAATATTAAATCCAAACGCTTTGTTTATGTTGCCTCATGTAAGGCAATCCAAGACAGTCTCGGATTCTGGATCCAACGCCTTATATTCCGGATTCCAGCCACTGGATTGCGGATTGTTTGTTTGTGATTATTGGATTCCAGGTCCCAATCATTAGTGGGATTCCGGATTTCGTAAGCTGTATTTCGGATTTTAGTTCCCAAGATTTCGGATTCCTTAGATAAAATTCCAGGATTTCGGAAGCCAGAGGCAAAAATTTCCTGGATTCAGAAATTCGGATTCTCTTTAATTGGGCCATTTATGCATTCTAGTGCTTTGTGGCAGGGAAGGGTACATTTCTTCGTTTTTCATAACACTATAACGTTTCTTGCCGTCCGTTTATGGAATAATAAAAGGATAAAGAAAGTACTACCGTAAAATAAAGACACCAATATAAGGCGAGGAAATTATCGGTCATCCCGATTGAATAATAAAAATGCTTTCAGCTGTACGCACGGGCGTATTGTGGGTATATGGATGCTACGCTCCTGCCTTTAAAGTGCGGTGCAGACAACCAAAGGAACTTCTGCTTTCTTATTTAACAGATATCCCGTCTCAACCGTGCAAGTTTGGAAACAAATCATACTCAGAAGGACAACACATGGATCGGTACCAGCCCACTGACAACATTTGTGAAGCTTGCAAGTGTTCTCAAGGAAAGTTCGATTGTAAAACGAAATGGTACTGTGACACTGATCTTAAGGCCTGCGATGAATATCACTTTCCGGATGGAAGTTGCTGTCCGGAATGCAAACTTCCCTGTAAGGTTCATAACTTCTTAATAAACTAAACAGTATAACGGATCTCTTTTTTAATTGATAGACGATATAACGAACGGGCTTGCTCACCTGTTATAGGGAAAGGTATGAAGCAGGGCCCCAGTTGTTTAAAAGGTGCGATTCCCTTTACTGGATAGTATAATATTCTGCTCTGGGTATTATATTGTTATTCATGAAATGCAAATAAGGTATGGAGAATCGCTCTCCGATCTGGCTGTTGGTACAAGCCAAAACCGAACGAAAAAGATTGGTGTTTGCCCTCCAAAAACCGACTACCTCGACCGAGGGGAAGGTGGGTCGCTAGTCTTTACGACTGCAACGACAGCCTAGAGTAGAGTGCTAGGGGTGGACCCAAAGCAATCCTTTTATTGTCGTAATTTACATATCCCCGGGGCATTTTATTCATACATGCAAATGACTTTGCATAGCGCAACTTTAACTCTTTTTAATACTTATCCAACGGATAGTGACATATCTAGCGAATAGCTTTATCCACCATGTAAAAAACTGGGCCAGAACTAAGACTGAGTTACAGCAGCCAACACTTTATCCAAGTCTTTTGGGACGCTATTTAGGGCTTTTTCCGTAGCAACAAATATTAGTACTTTCCAGTACTTACCTGTAAAGAGAAAGAAGGGTGTCCGCTTTTTAGCCGGCTTCAGTAACTGTTTTATCGTCGGAAACTATAGCTGTTGGCCTCACATTAGGGTTAACAGTAATATGAAAATCATGATAGGTGGGAGCTATAGGCCGCCTGACTGGAAATGCAGCCAACCAACACAGACACCATATGTATCCTTTTAATAGATTTATTTGCCCATTTTATAGCATACCAGAAGAGCATAATGTCCATGATGAATATACAATTTTAGCCCCATTTCAAAGGAAATTCAAGGCAGTCTCGGATTCTGGATTCCAAGCAGTGGATTCCGGATTCCAGGTAGTTGATTTCTTGTCAGTGGACTTGGATTCCGAATTCCGAAGCTTTGGATTCCAGATTCCAAAAGCAAAATTTCCCGGATTCTGCCCGGGTTAACCTTGAAAAGTATATCAACATTTAAAAAAGGGATAAGAATTATTACCCTTATCAGTGGTATTGGTCTTCTTTGCGGTTTATAACTTGCCGAAATATTAACCGGTCTTTCCTTTTTTCTTCTGCCTCTAATAATGCGGGGTTAAAAATAAGCAACTGAAAAGCAAAGACTGAGCTATGAAAATGTTTGTTATTTTGGGTTGTGATTTACAACCTGGAAAGCCATTGTGACGTGATTTTGTGTTGTTCCAGTGAAAACTATCACTGACTCCTAGGCCGTTAATTTGCAGCATGTGGAGAGAGAAAACCTGGTGAAAGTTGGTACATACCAGGCGAAACATGGCCGACAAACCTCGAGGACTGCGAGTATTGCCAGTGTAAACCTGGAGACATAAGGGACTGCGAGAAGATATTAATGTGTTTGAGACCAAAGTGCCAGAATCCTGTTATCCCAGAAGGAGAATGTTGCCCAGCATGCCAGGGTAGGTGTTAGATATTTCAGGGAGCAAGAATCGATGGGAGACTGCGCCTTTCAAACCCGTATAAGATGCAGAGGTTTCTAAATCTACGGTAAAACGGGCAACAAATATGTGCCAATTGCTGCAGAACGTGTTGAAAAGCACCACCCAAGTTCAGACTTGTCTTGCAGCAACCAAAGCTTGCTGCAATTTGCGTTAATACTGACTTCTGATTGGATAAAATTACGCGGGAGTCACGCCATATACAGGAGTTGCGTCACTTGCTGCAAAATAAGTTTGCCTTGGGCAGGTAAAACGCGCAACATGCTCAGATTTTGTTCCAAAATGTAGAACTACTCTCTACTTTCTGCAACAAATTTTTTGCAGCCTGAAACAACCTGATTTGTTGCAAGACAGGTTTGAACGTGGCTAAAACGCGCAACATTGCTTTTTACCTCGTTTTGCAGCAATGCCTGCAAAATAAGTTGGTAACAGAGAGAATGACTCCCGTTATTATACATTAATGTTTTCAGAAAAGTAAGACTGTATAAAGCTTGATCTAGATTTAGTTTCAGTCTGTTTATTATTAAGAAGAATTTATATTACAGAGGTGTGTATAGATGTGAGGATCGACTGAGTTACTAACTTACCTGGATTTATGAAAACCGGGTTTTCTTTTCTTATTTTCAAAAGTGGGTCGCTAAGCTTTGGGGTCTGTTTTCATGGTTTCTTCCAAACTAGTGTTGGATCTGCTCTAGTCTTAGCTTTACACCTGTTGCTTGCAGGATATTGAAGCTCCCTGATTAAAGCTAACCTACTCCTGTGGTTAACTTTGTTTTGTTTTTTTGTGGCGAGAAAAGTACAGCCGTTCTGACTGGCTCAATGTTGACCTTACGCAATATTAGGCCGTATCAAGGAACGGAAGTTCTAGATTTCCAATTGGCTGCTTTACAGCCGATCACAAGGGATGGATCACAGATCCTCTTGTGCTTGAACGACATGAAGCTACACATTGTTCCATTTTTGTGTAGCCCTTTGTCTTGGAGTATAATTTAAAATGTATACTGTTTTCTGTGGCCAAGAAGCAAAAAAAAAACGTTTGGCCGTATTAACGGGTGACCGTATTAATGAGGTATTTTTAGAAGAAAAGTTTAGCCGTTTTGCCAGGCGGCCAATAGAAAGTGGCTGTGAGGTGACCGTATTTGCAACGAGGTGGCCGGAAGGCGGGGCTTCACCGGTACAGTAGTCTTTTTGAAAAAAAGAAATCACTTTAATTTGAAGTTTAAAAGTTTGAAAAAAACCCGTGTTTTTCAAAACGTTCGAATGGATCGAAACGCAGTCTCCGACGCCCTAGTCCCACCACCCCACCCCCCTTTGAGAGTTAAGCCTCCGGCTTGGTTTAGTCCGTCTCCTCGTTGGATGGCATCCCCCCGTAAAATATCCCGACTACTGTCCTGAAATGTTCTAAAATTTTCGTCATTTTTCAAAATTTGACTTGCTGAAATGCTTCTAGAGATCACTAAGTTACTACCCGGCGTCAAATGAAGGCTTTTAATTGGCCTTTGAATGATCTTTCATTGTTTTAAATTACCAAGTAGTAGAATGAGTTGATTTTTTTTGCTAACCCGGTTTTCAAAAATCCAGGTATAATTATTGCGCATAAATCACAAAGGAACAACTCTAAATTCGTTAAAGATCTTTGAAATGACTCTCATAATGAATAATAATAATAATAATAATCATAATAATAATCATAATAATAATAATGATAATGGTTTATTTAACAGTTCCACGGGGTGGCTCTTGCCTGTTAAATTACATTAAAAATAGATTAAATTACCTTATTTACAATTAAAAAAAGATTGATGGCGTAGAAAAGTGCGTAGAAGTAGGACTAACAGATTTGAAGTTAGTGACAGTAAAATTAAGTAATCACTCTGCCAGAAAAACTTTCTTGAAAGTTACTCTTAAGAGGGTTCTGTAATCTTCACAGTTTCTAATAAATTCTGGTACTTATTGTTAAAAAGCATCGACACATTATAATCTTGGAAAGTGCCGTTTTCGGTCGGGACCGCTAATCTAAGTCATCTAATGGAATTGCTTGAGCTCAGCTCCCTGCGACATTCCTGGCCTTTTTTATTATTTTTAGATAATCTGGCCAAGTGTCAATGTTATTCAAAGCTTTAAAGCATGATTTCAGGAGGTTGAAATCCCTTCTCTCATTAACTGGAAGCCATCCGATTTTAAGTACATCCCAACGGTTCTTAACATACATGTGGTGACCGAGAAAACAAACTTTCGTACGTATTCAGAATTTTGGTGGAGGATAACAAACCAGATCAACATAATCTAGTTTCGACAAAATCAATGTTTCTGCTAGTTGCTCTCTACGCTCAAATTTGGCAAGATATTTCAGCTGTCGTAGTACTGATAGAGTGGTCTGATAGATAGCATCCGGATACGATGCGATCGATCGATCGATATTGATGCGATCGTCCCACTTAAGATATTAATTGATGTGAACTCCAAGCAGTTTGCAAGATTTAAAAAGTTCCGAGTTTATAACCACTGACTGAGATGTTAGGACCATACTCGACAAGGTGATGTTCTCTGGACATTTGCGGAGTGGATAGGATCAAAACTTTGGATTTGTCGTAACTGTCAGATCGGAGCAGATTTGTCGCGGTATTCTCCTTAGACCAGACACTTAGTTTATTAATTGATTTGGTGATAGTGTTTCTGCAGTTACTTCAGGTCAGATACTTTAGCACATTCGTAGATTGTTGTGTTGGCTACAAGAAGCATTTGACATCTAAGCTATCCCGAAGGCAAAGATCAGTAACATAAATATTGAATAACACTGGACCCAAAATGAACCCTTGCAGAACCCCAAAATGCACGTTTTTATCGTCTGAATACTTGGCATCGATCTTCTTTATGATGCGTTACATAATTGAGTTTCTCTCATGATTGCATGTTCTTTGTCGGCAAGCTATTTTGGCAAAAAAGAAGCACTTTTCTAGGTATAACCATGCTCATTTTCTTTGCATGTGCTCGAAGTCATTATATATAGACAGAAGACAGCTCTCCTAACAGAAAGATGTGTATACTGTCTTATACATAGGTGTCCGTAACGCTTACTTGGTAAATCCATTGATATTAACTGTCCCGAGCAACCCTAGTGTACCCGGAATGTTGGTATTATTTTTCTGATCGAATTTCCTCTTACTTTTTTTCAAATTTAGCAGAGGAAACTACAACTCCAACTGCTATTATTATAGGACCTGATTTTCCAACTACAAGTTTTAAATTTCCTTGGGAACACTAACAAGATTTGAAGAGGTAAAGATTAGAAAACTGCCATCCCCAGGAATAATAAATAAGGGGCTCCGTTTTTTAAACACAAGTCAAAGTAACGTAGAAAATGCCTTCCATACCCCTAGGTCACCTCCGCAAATCCAACGAATTGACCTTAAAAGTAGCCTGCAAAAACATCTGTTTCTCCTCGCTCTTCGCCGCTGGGGACGTTTCGCGCAGATACTGTGTTGTGTCACGATAACATTGTGTTGTGTTTCGATAAACCTTTGTCGTGTTTAGATAATAGCGTGTTGTGTTTGGAAAAGTGTTTGTTGTGTTCAAGGAATATTTTGTTGTGTTTCAAGAACTGTTTGTTGTGTTTGCAGATATGGGCCACCGTATTAACGCGATACGTTATATTACTTATTTGTAGATGCGCAGAGAACTATATAGATGCACAGGAGACAGATGTTATGAAGATACTCAGTAATACTAGCTTTAGCAACTTACAACGAACTGTGTAACAGATTACATTGAAAATAAACTAAAACAAAAAACGTTCAGCATAATCTTTACGTCAGTGTGATGGATAAATTCCAGTAATGAAATATAGTCAGTGTTTTTCTTAGGAAGAAAATTCCTTTTTTTCCCCATTTGAACGTTTCTTGGGACCTTCCTGTTGCAAGGATTATTTTCTTGAAAAGGTGTTATGCATGTAATTACTTTATGAGGTTCCGGAGGAGAGTCAGTTCTCAGATTCAGTCTGGTGGCTTTACAAACCTGCTATGTAAAAGTGTGAAGTGTCATGAGGGATCTTTAATCAGCTTTGCAGAGGAAGCGATCGGCAATATTATTAAGTCCAGCTACAAATCTACTGTCGGTTTGGTTTCACATCGTAGATAAATATTTGCACAGTTTAATCATTTAAATCTCCTTTCAAATTTCCCGAGGCTTTTTGTTACCCGATTGAAACTTAGAATAATTCGCTGCGCTATTTGAAATGTTTCCTAGGACATGCGATGTACGGCACGTCGGTATTTTATTTCATTTCTTTATAAACTCGGCCAGGTTTCGAAAAAAATGCTTTGTTTTCTTTTCGTTTGTCGTTCGCTTTAGGCGTGTAATTCGTTTTTATTCTCATTTTTTTGTTTTGCTGGTTAGATGTTTTCCCCAACACCAGGTTTTCCAACAGAAGCGACTGTATTCTTCGTGTCAAGCTTTCCTTATCTCCTCGTGCAATCCGATCCTTTTTTATAGTGGTGAGAATATTGCTTGTTGCACATGGAACACTTTTTTTTGCTGTTTTACAAACTTCTCTTCGTTAAAACTTAACATTATGACCCCTAAAATTAATACAGACTACAGTGGCCAGGTTTGACAAATAAATTTAGGTAAATAAACACAGGAAGTCGCGACGGCGGGAATAGTGTGAAATTTTGTATTTAAAAAGCGTACCACATTCAACTTTAGCCCGTGCGACAGGTACTGCCTTTTGATTGGTTGACAACTGACCACTTGGTCTCAGGGGAATCTACCTTACATCAGGTTACACTTTTTTCAGCTCGATCGAGAATTTTTCTGCCTCTCAGCCCAGTCTTGCGCGGCTCTATTCTGCTGCCGCCTCGCCATCCGAGCGTCTTCGCTCGGATGGCTCGTTGGCAATAACAAAAACAACAATTTATATCAAGGCATGTGTTCAAAACAAGGCCCAACTCTGCGCGAGCTCTGCTTGCATTTCCGGTTACGTACTTTCCGAAAGGAGCAGATTTAAAATATAAAAAAACAACTGTGTTGGATAAATCTGGCCACGGTTGTGGCAGGTTTAATGAAATCAAAGCTAGCAGAATCAAAGCACATCGATAATTATATGTAAACCGATTAACCTACTGAATATATAAAAAATGGGGCGACCAAAATCCGCCACAAACTACACAACTAAATAAGAAAATGAAAAAAGAAGAAATAGGAAATACCGTTAACATTAATAACCCGCAGGCAGGTGAAAGGGGAGGAGGAGAAAAAGATTTTGCTTGAGATGTGAATGAGTTGATGACGAGGTTGAGAATTACTGGGAAAATACCTCAATATACTTACTTAATCCTGACACCGCCCTATAACCTCTTTGACTAGATTTGCAGTACCTGGTACAGCCTGACCTAGCGAGTTATCAGGTGAGTATCACGCCTTGACATAAATTACGTTCTGTCTGCCATAATGTCTGTTTTTTTAGTGATATTATCTCAAAATCACGGGGGGGGGGGGGGGGGTAT